GGGGAAGGTGGTAGAAACACTGAGCACCATCCCCAGCCTGAGAAACCTTTGAATAAAAGATAATATTTTAGAAATTCTCATCTATCTGATGTTACCATGTAGCAATCTTAGAAAGTCATACTGAAGTAATAGCAGAATTCTCCACATGTGACAAATGGAAAAAATGATGGCTGAAAATGTAAAGACTCTTGCACAAAGTCAGAGAATTCATTAGGTGATCGAATCTAGGCTGAAGTGTCCCTTTCTATTCCGTTTCTGTGTTTAACTATTTCTACAAACAACCTAAACATAAGGGCTTAAATATTACATAATTGGAAACTGGATCTCAACCAGCAAAAGACTACGTTGCTTTCAAATGGGAAATACTTCTTTAGTGAAAGTGCTAGTTTATTAATGGAATGATTGGGGGAATCATAGAAAAAAAGTTGAAGAGCCTGTAACTTGAACAAAGTTTGGAAATTTTAGAATATTACTTGGAAGTGAATCCAATCTTACCTTTTGTATCCTTGATCTCTTTGCCTAGATTAAAGAAAGTTTGGCAAAAAGCTGGTTCTGACTCTTTGGGTTTCTGTGACACAGTCTACAGGTTGCCCTGGTCTTACCTCCATATTTGGCCTTCATATAATTATTATACGCCTCTTGTAATTTCTCCCACTCCTTCTGCGCATTATCTTTCAAAGAAACATGGATGCCTTGTTTTTCTTCGCCACATTCCTCCATGTTAAGTGGTGGATTTCTTTCGTAAATTTCTGTCAAAATCCAAATACACCTTAGTCCAATTGAAAACCATAGCCCAATGAAAAGGTTCTGCCCTCACTTTAAATGCAAAATTTATAATGTGAATTACCTTTGAATATACATTGTATTATATTGTATTCCCCCATATCTGCATGCTTTTGTTGTACCTGTAGAGCCCTTTCAAATCCTTGCAATCATAACAAACTGTGTCTTTTGATTCAAACTCTTTTCTTATCTTGGGCAGATTTTTTCTGGGTCATCCACTCTTTTGATTTTTTTTGTACTCTTGCTCATTGCCTATGGTGATGATCATGATCTATTGAGAATGTGTGCTCCAAGGAAAATGTATGATTTTGTCTAGGCAGCAATCACCCCCAATATACTGTAAAGTCTTTCTTATGCTCTGTATGTTGTTGGGTTCAAGCACTCTGTCTTTGAATTCCCATAATTCTCTACACATCCTATCCTCAAATCTTTGTGCCTCAAATGTTTTAAATACCTTAATATGCTGAAGCAGTTTATGAATTAATGAATAAAGAAATGAAAGGCATATAGTGTGTTAATTTATTTAAGACTTTATTTTTTTGTTTTTGCTGTTTTTGTTTTGTTTTGTGTCTTTTGGCACCATGGATCAAACTCTGGATGTTTTGCTTGTGAGGCAGGCAGCAGAACCACTGAGCTAAATTCCCGGGAAAGACTTTATTTTCAATCAGAATTCAGAACCAAGCATAATCTGATTACTAATCTTTCATTATGAAGAAATTGCGCTAGGGTTAATGTATTACTCCTTTGGAAAGCTTAAAATTGTATGGGACCATAGAATATGGATATCGAACAATAGATCTTTAATTTTCAATTTGTAGATACACTTCAGGCAGGTAATATATTGGAAGACAGGTTTTCATGTCTATTCTCAATTTTATAGCAATAGTTACTGAAGCCTTCAAATGTAAAGAGAGCTGTGACAGCAAATGACACCTACCATCTAAAGAAAACACTCCATGACGTTGAAAAAGAAGTTTGTCAAATGGGAAGGAGAACTAGGAAGGAAGGATGGAAAGGAAGGGAAAACACAAAAAAGTCAGAAAAAAATGGAAACAAAGCTTTTGTAAAGAAGGAGGGGAAGAGGGGTTGAAGGGAAGGCAGGGGAATGGGAAAAAAAGAAGAAGCAAGATATATCATGGACAGGTACACATTCCCTATGATGAATGTGGTCATTCCGTATATCTATAATGTACCAGTAAACTTAATTAATTTAAAAAAGCAAAGAAACTATAAAAAGAATTTTATCACAGAATCAGGAGTTTCATTGCCTGTGTTACCTGGGGTTCTTCTTTCAGTAAATGTGCATTTACTACTTATTATTAGACACATAGATGTTCTGAAACATGGAAAAAGGTATATAATATCAATTAATCTCAATGAGAGTTTAAATTTCCAATGCGCCTTTTATGACTAGAAAGGAATATATCCAAAGAAATGTAAGTTATTATTATGTATATCTCTATACTAAGTTCTCTACAAATATTCACATACCAGGCTGACAGAAAAAGCCAGGAAATCATTGATTCCCTTCTTTTAAAAAATGAAATAATGACTAAATAGTAAGAAGTAAACTATCATTAAATCATAACTTGACCTGAATTGCACAATTTGGGTGTTCATTCAATTCTTCTGCCAAGGCCTATACAGGTAGTAACAATAGTTAATGGTTGCTGAGCTGCCATTGTGCCAAGCATCTTATGTGAATATTCTCAGTGGAGGAGCACAACGTTCTATAGTATCTCTTACACTGCAGATAAGAAGTTAGTTTAGTAATTGACCAAATTTTGTACGAAGACAGTGTAAATAGTCATGAAATTAAATGACACTTGGTGAAGAGCTACTTATGAAAAACCAGTTTAGATGTCTCAGGGACTCAAGAAAAGATGGGTCAGTACTAGCTTGTAAGATCACAAGGCTTCACCAAAGAGGTGTTGGAGACACTGATCTTGAAATACAGTGTATGG